TGTATTATTTACTCAATAAATAAACAACAACAACATGGACCACACAACAGTTTTGTTTTGAAAAAGGCAAAAGAAAGAAGGAGCACGATATACGGGTTAAAAACGATTTATTTCTGGAATGAATGAGAACTTGTGACTTTACACGGTGCCAAAACAATATATCACTTCTAATCGACGTAACCGCCGCATAGGGAATCATGAGCTCATCTCTAACATGGTTGTTTTTGTAGAACTTACTGTATTACTTCAGACACTTGCTTGGGTTTCAGAGATACCAGATGTACATACCGCAGTCTAAGGATAGAGAATATTATACTAAGATTGATTATTTAATTGAATATCGTCTAATGAACAATAGAAAGAAACCAGAATTTTTTTTTTCTAATAATAAAGAAATCTAGACTTGCCAAATTATTGTAGACTTTCCGTGAGTTTTCGAATACTTTTGCTTCACGGTCTAACAGTAAATATCCAGTGTATTTCAATACACGGTGGTTAACAGGTGTGTTTTGCAATACCATAGCACTATAAGGACACACGGAGGACACATGGTGGAAAGAGGACACATGATGGGAAATTACAAAGTATGACATAAGGATAGCAAGAAACCGTAAATGCATGATTAAAACTATTAACGAGTACAAAGTATACATGCCGTATTTCCTCTATTAGACGCCCGGAATTTATTAATTATTAATTTTGTCCAAGCCGTTGACCCGGTCCCGTCGGTCTCGAGGCTCGGCGTCTGTTCTGTTAAATACTGGCACGCACTACTTAACCAAATCCAAAATTCCACCCCTATACAAAGGATACATTTGCAGGAAAAGACCCTTTGAATTACTGACGCATCACAGTACAAGGCTCCCAACCTCTGTTGTTCGGGCAAAGCCCATAGCACGGCTTAAAACAAAGACTGACACTTATTGGATTCATGAGTCTAATAGAGGGAATATGGTAGATCTTCACATGTTGTTCAGAGGGCATTGGTAAGCTGAGGTTTTGACATAAACACAGGCGAGGCCCTCATAATTATTTCTACACTTATATGTGCAATTAATTATAACATTTGTGTTATGTTTCTACAGCCATCAAAGTATACCATATATTTACAGAATAGGAGGAACAAACAGTCATAACAAAAATACGTAAACATATATACTGGCAGTGAAAGCTGTCACGAGGCACTTGACCACACGGCGGTCAACAATAATACCAGTGATAAATGACCAATATCATACAGTCTATATGTACATCCAGCCAAGGAGGTGTGTGTTCTGGAGTGGCACATAATGTGGGTTCTGTCGCGAAGTATAATGTGGGTCCTGGAGTGGAGCATAATGTGTGTTCTGTCGCGAAGTATAATGTGGGTCCTGGAGTGGAGCATAATGTGTGTTCTGTCGCGAAGTATAATGTGGGTCCTGGAGTGGAGCATAATGTGGGTCCTGCAGTGGAGTATAATGTGGGTCCTGGAGTGGAGCATAATGTGTGTTCTGTCGCGAAGTATAATGTGGGTCCTGGAGTGGAGCATAATGTGTGTTCTGTCGCGAAGTATAATGTGGGTCCTGTCGCGAAGTATAATGTGGGTCCTGGAGTGGAGCATAATGTGGGTTCTGTCGCGAAGTATAATGTGGGTCCTGGAGTGGAGCATAATGTGGGTCCTGGAGTGGAGCATAATGTGGGTCCTGGAGTGGAGCATAATGTGGGTTCTGTCGCGAAGTATAATGTGGGTCCTGGAGTGGAGCATAATGTGGGTCCTGAAGTGGAGTCCAATGTGGGTCCTGGAGTGAAGTATAATGTGGGTCCTGGAGTGGAGCATAATGTGGGTCCTGAAGTGGAGTCCAATGTGGGTTCTGGAGTGGAGCATAATGTGGGTCCTGCAGTGGAGCATAATGTGGGTCCTGAAGTGGAGTCCAATGTGGGTCCTGGAGTGAAGTATAATGTGGGTCCTGGAGTGGAGCATAATGTGGGTCCTGAAGTGGAGTCCAATGTGGGTTCTGGAGTGGAGCATAATGTGGGTCCTGGAGTGGAGTCCAATGTGGGTTCTGGAGTGGAGCATAATGTGGGTCCTGGAGTGGAGTATAATGTGGGTCCTGCAGTGGAGCATAATGTGGGTCCTGAAGTGGAGTCCAATGTGGGTCCTGGAGTGATAGTACAATGGGTCCTGGAGTGGAGTATAATGTGGGTCCTGGATGGAGCATAATGTGGGTCCTGCAGTGGAGTACAATGTGGGTCCTGGAGTGGAGCATACTGTGGGTCCTGGGTGGAGTATAATGTGGGTCCTGGAGTGGAGCATAATGGGGTCCTGAGTGGAGTCCAATGTGGGTCCTGGAGTGGAGTACAATGTGGGTCCTGGAGTGGAGCATAATGTGGGTTCTGGAGCAATAGTGGAGTATAATGTGGGTCCTCCTGCAGTGGAGTATAATGTGGGTCCTGGAGTGGAGCATAATGTGGGTCCTGAAGTGGAGTATAATGTGGGTTCTGAAGTGGAGTATAATGTGGGTCCTGAAGTGGAGTATAATGTGGGTTCTGTAGCGGAGTACAATGTGGGTTCTGAAGTGGAGTATAATGTGGGTCCTGAAGTGGAGCATAATGTGGGTTCTGTAGCGGAGTACAATGTGGGTTCTGAAGTGGAGTATAATGTGGGTCCTGAAGTGGAGTACAATGTGGGTCCTGAAGTGGAGTACAATGTGGGTTCTGTAGTGGAGCATAATGTGGGTCCTGGAGTGGAGTACAATGTGGGTTCTGTAGTGGAGCATAATGTGGGTTCTGTAGCGAAGTATAATGTCGGTCCTGGAGTGGAGTATAATGTGGGTTCTGTAGCGGAGTACAAGTTTTGTTCTGTAGCGAAGTAAAACATTGGTGCTTTTTTTTTTAATGTGATCTGTGATTTTTACATCCTAAACACACTTTCGGCATGTTCTGTCATGTTTCGGATATAACACAAGAAGTGACCTCTTCTCACAACCTAAATACAACATCCATACACCCTAAACATTATATATTTTCAGGAAAAAGTGTATCACACCGAAACATGAGTCTCATCAATCTATTCAGGCAATGACCTACTTTTCAGCCGATCCAAATTTTCTTGTGTGAAAGTGAAAATAGACATCACAAACAACTATGGTTACACTGAATTCAAATTCCTTGTTTCACAAGAAAATGGTCTTTACAAATAAATTTTAATTTTAAACTTTAATAACATCGTATTTCTATATTTTATGGCGAGGTGTAGGCAGCATGACCTTAACTAAGACGTCACAGACTGCCTGTTTGATGAGGCAGAGCCTCGTTTTCAGATTTCCACGATTTCCAGGTTTCCGTTTGTCAGAGCTCGCTGTATGACAGAGCACGCTGCACGACGTGTTTGCAAGGATTAGAAGGAGCGTAGTGTTGCAATATACAAGTGCTTAGATGTCTCAAATAATACTGATTAATATTTATGTATCCAGTTAAATGAATTGGTCTCAAAATTCTGGACTGGTTGTTGTACTAAGTTCCGCAATAGGACGAAACCCTGTCAGCAGGAAACGAGACTGTTGTGTAATCAATGTTTTGACTTGCATCTTTGCGTATTAAAATAATCTTAACATGTTTGAATTTTGTTTAGAATCAATGCATGTTTAAATAAAGTGCATCATTGGGCATCAAATATATGCAATATATATATGTCAAATATTGACATTGGTTGTAAAACCATATCATAGTCACGTGCGCTTATACGAACTTGGGTAATATTAACATAACAAATAAATTAACTTAAAAAACAAATAACCTACGTAGAACAGGTTACGTCGTAGCGTGAAATCAAAATATTGCATTTTAGACTCCGCCGTTGCGAAAATAAAATGTCTGTTGTTGTATTACGACTAATACTATTTCTGTCATACAGGAAGCTCACAGTGGTCTCTGACCGGTAAGAGAGATAGGACCCCGACATTTTAAAGTTCACACTTAACAAGATTAAAACATATAATCAGGGTTGATTTCCTGAATACATAACACTGGAAAAAAACTTTTAATACAAGCACAAACAGGTGCCCCAAAAAGCAAACTTGATCAGATATAACGTTTCGTGATTTTCTGTACGTTTGCAAATCGTAAGTCTATGTCAAAGCAATAACGAAATGGTGAGGGCCTAATGTACTCTGACGTATCAGAGATCTCTCACCTCTTAATACATTTGCTTCAAAGCTACAGCCCGTATTTAAGTGGTTGCCATTAGAACTGATGAGGTAAGTGCCATTGTGGATGTCTGATCTGATACAAGACTCCCACAATGTGGGCTCCGGGACAGCCAGGCAGCGCAACATCAACAGTGGTTGTCGTCGTCGTTATAATCGCTAGCATGATTACATCCCTACAAAGGAAGTTGTTGTCATCGGACCCATCTAACGTGTGCCACCTGTTGCGATAACGAGCCGGCAAATGGCACGAGTCCTACACAATGTCTGTAAATGTGAGCACTTGTTCCACGTGTCATAAGTAATGGATGAGAACTGCCGGTGTATTGTCAGGCTTGGGTCATAATAATATACATGTGTTGAGGCTTTTATGTTGGCGATAACAGCTACAACGACAGTTCCAAAATCAAAAGAAACCCTTAATGGGCAGAACAATCGCCGAAATACTGCACACGTAAAGTCCTGCACACGTAAAGTCCTGCACACATTTTTGATATCAATATCAAAGAAATCATTAAAGGATAACCTATTCATGTTTTGTTCACCCCAGCCCGCCTCCGTGGTGTAGTGGTTACAGCGTCCGCCCGGAGAGCGGAAAGTCGCGGGTTCGATTCCCGACCGCGTCATACCAAAAAGACGTTAAAATATGGTACTTGTTGGTCCCTGCCTGGCGCTCGGCATTACTGGGTACAACAAGGACTGGTCGACTCGGAATCAGTATAATGAGTGGGGTATTCATGCTTAACTGCGGCATGGTATCTCAGTGAGCTAGCACTATAAAACCAGCTTCAGTCTCGGCTAGTACAAGCAGCCACATATACACACGCTTTCACGTCGTCATATGAGCAAAATATTCTCAAGTACGACGTTAAACCCCATTTCACCTCACCTCACCATTTTGTCCACCCTAAAACATGGGTGAATACTTTCTTTTGTCCGTTAGTATATATCATCAGCATACATATATGAATGACTGTCAAATAGTGAACAAGTGGCAGTGAATCAGCTACCTCCAGGGGTTTCTTCACCATAAGCAAACTTGGTGCCTCGCGAATCGGATGTCAATACCCCGACAGTACGTCCGTTCTCAACACTGAGCGTAAGTTCCTAACACTCTAGGGGCGGTGGGATAGCCTAGTGGTTAAAGCGTTGGCTCGTCACGCCGAGGACCCGGGTTCGAATCCCCCACATGGGTACAATGTGTGAAGCCCATTTCTGGTGTTGTTGCTGGAATATTGCTAAAAGCGGCGTAAAAACAAAACTCAGTCAGTCAGTCAGACCTAACACTCTAGCATCATCCACCGGGTATTCTAATGACCAACTGCTGAAACATCAGCTATTATAACGTTCAATTGCTGATATATGGGGTATCCTAAGATGTGATTGATGGTTGCACTGATGATTACACCATAATTACAAACAGTCTTTTACCTCCCGTCAACTAATATCTCTTACGGCTTTCACACTTAAATGGTAAGTGAAGCCATGTGTACAAAATAAAATCCGACATTAACTGTGTAGATTGTCGGTAATACAATGTACCACCTGCTTTCCAAACGTGTAAGGTTTTTGACATGGCTGATTTAAATGTTGTGTCCACAGTGATGAAGGTGTGCAACATTTACCTCTCTATTAAAACAAACGAACTAGGTACTTTTAGCATACATAATAAATTCAGGACACAACAGCAAGACTTACGTATGATCCGAATACTTGTGAAATGTTGCAATTGATGTTTCATATTGAAAACAGCAGGGCCTACAGTCTTAGTTTCGTTGAATGAATAAAACAATGGGAAATAAGATTAGGAACACGTACTCCGTTGTGAATGTTGGTTGGAGACTGTCCTTCTAGTAGTAACAGCAGCACCATGTCTCCGTGTCCAAGAAACACAGGAGAACGGCGATGAGGAGAGGCCGAATTCCCTTCACAATAGTCTCCGCAACAGAGACCGACTCCACGATACCATACGAGCACAGGGTCAGGTAGACTTCCGCCGCCGCAAGAAGTAGCAGGAGCAACACGACCTTCCACACACTCTGCAACACTAGACGGATCTCAGTACACTCATAGGCGACAAGAGGACGACAGGTTGCCCACCACATACACAAAAACAACATGAGCAGAGCAATTGCGATGATGAGGAACTTCGGGGCATCCGTGATCCAGTGGGTACTGTCTAGCTGGTAGTACAACACGCACGCTAGGTTGCTACGAAGGAAAAAGGTCACGGCCACAACCCAGGCGGAAGCTAGCATTACCGGAAGTCCGAATCCCAAGAAGAAGGAAAGGAGGAGACGCCCCCTGTTAAGGTTGCATTTTCTTAGCCAGATCATGTAATTTATTCCGAGAACCATCAACCAGGAGTAGGTGGCAAGTTCCGAGAATCTTCTGAGATAAGTTATTGTGATGCAAGATGTTGGATTTTCTGATAAGCTACGATCGCTTTGTGTCGGGTCGTCGATATATTGCATCACGTTGAAGGTCAAGGACACAAGGGAGATAAGCAGAGCTGATAGGAATAGCGGGATGAGAATCTGATAGCGTAGAGACCATTTCTTGATACAACATCCGAATATGATGATGGCGATGATGAGGGCGAGAGCGGCTATGCAATTCAGGAAGTAGAAGAGAAGGTCGTTTGTGAGGACAGCGACATCTATACTCACCTCCTGCACTGCCGCGGTAGGGACGTAGGGAGTTGTCTCCTCTTCCTCGTCAGGCAGAACGCAGGTTGTGTAATTTGTCCAAACCGCGAATTCGTTTCCCGGTGGACTATACCACGTGCCATTCCTATTACACTTCTTGTAGGCGTGACCAGTTGACGTGAAACCGTCAACTGAAGGGCAAGGTCGACTAATGGTCATCCCTGGTAAGGTAGGTGGCCAACAGATGTAGCCATCGAATGTCGCATTGCAAAAACTCTTGGGGTACAGGTGTTTGATGCTGTTTAGACATTCCTCCGTAGCCTTTTTGAGTCCATCAGAAATACGTTTGTTCATTCCCTCCATATTTGGACATTAACTTCAAATACTTCAGAACGTGTTTCAAGCTGGCGGCACAATTTTTCTTTGGCAAAGCGAGATCCTTTTTGAGTTAAACTGTTATCAACTCTGGCAGTGCTGAAGTACCAATCTGTCCCTGGTAGTTATACAGTCAACCAGAGCACCTATTAACTTTTGCTTGACTGAAAACACATACAGTTTCACTTTGCCTCAGTCGGAATCACATGCACATCCGCTGCCCATTAATCTTCGTTAAAGTGGAAGAAGCGACGTCCGTGTATAAAAGCTGTATACGTTGTCTGTTCCGAATGAGCGGTTACGATGCTGAAGAGAAAAGAACACTTATTACATATAACACCTAGAAACAACATAAGTCAAAAAAGAGTTTTTCCCAAGTGTCAGTTGCTTTCGGTATTATTTTAAATCCTCTTACGCTGCGAGGAGTTTGCACGTCTGCACACTACAGCTGTGTTCCAAACTCTATCATGTTATAACAAGGATGTCAAGCTCCGAACAGTGACCTCTCCTGTTAAAAATACATTACAGATCAGTTCTCCTGGGAGGAACAGATTAACGCTCTTCAGTGGATAAGCAACGCCGGTTCCTCACCAACTCGTGTGGTCAGATGAAGACCAGGCTAGTGCTAAAACGACACCAATATGGAGTTTATCAGCAATCAAACAGACAAATGAAACATTGAAAACAGGTGCTTGTGTAGACGTAATTTGTCATTTTCTTTTGCTAGCATTTCTAATAATATATTTTATGGCAAAACAGGAACGGAACTTGTTTGTTGAACAAAACCCCCTCCATGCATTCATCAACTCACCCCCTCATGGAGCGGCACGTGTGGGTGGACATAGAGTCCCGGGGTACACATGTTTTACCCTGACCAGCATCAAGCATCACTCTCCACTGCCCTCTTATCGTGCTAATCTAGAGACAGGGGTTTGGGGTGTACATGAAAGATGCGACTGTTTGGAAAAGATTGTGTATCTTATAAAACAACATACTGGACATAGAGATCATTTACACAGCTGCCTGAAGGGCCTTGACTATCACTATCTGAATATCTTGAAGAGCGGCTGGATATTTAGATAGATTATATGCACGCAGTTTCCTTTCTTTGACCATTGGTTCATAGATTCAAGCTGATCGAAAACATTGTCAGATATTTGAGACTGCACATATAATATCGCGTTTTAATGTGTTAGAATATTTTTTTAAATACTTTAATGTGTTTCTTGCATTAACCAAAACATTTTCTTATCACGAAAAGATATTTAACCAATCTCCAGAGAAAATGAAAATGGTTCTTGAATGAACTGTCTTTATTTGACAAATGGTTGTATTTCCTGTTTATGCAGTTAGGGCGAACATCCGTGCTCGTAATTTTCCTCAGATCGCATTTATCCTCGTTCTTTGACATTATCTTTGCATATATAGTGACAAGATATCTCACCCCTGTTCTTTACGTCTACCGGAGTGTCTACGGCTGACAGGGCAATTACAATAATATATGGTTATATCGCCTCTTGTGTTGTTCCAGCAATACCTGACCAATTCCATTGTCATGGAATAGTTAGATGAAACAAAATGTCTGTTTCCAAATTGAATCATCTTAGATGTGTGATCTGATGAATGTGTTTGCAATATAGAACCCGATTTCTTTCGAAATGTTGAGCACAACAAACGAGCATTTACATGATCTGCCAGGGGTGTAAGGATGCCAGCCCCTCCTGCTCTGTAACAAATTGCTCGCTGAAAACTTGAGACGGCTAAAATATGCTCTCATCAATTAGGTTGGGAAAACATACTTTTAACTAGATGTCTGCGCCAGTGTTTTCCCTGGGTTTTCAAATTTCATTCATGAATGTGCGACAAATGACCACGTTACTTTTGGAGGAAAACCCCAAATATATTGATTTGCACGTGAAACATGATATTCACACATAACGGTTCTCAAATGTACACGAATGTGATGCATGTCACCAGTAGATCAAAACTTTACCGTAAAAAGGATTAAGGCGTTATAGTTATAGTACACGTTCAAGTTGTGATGGAAACGCAGGGAAAATATCAGAGTTCATTTCTGTAACATATACATGATTCACGCTAAATCTTGTTCTCTAGAATATAACATATGGGCGTAATGCAAGTCACAAATATAATAAGGATATGGTTTAGAAAATGTATTTATCATTTGGATTCTTGACTTTACTTATACAAAAACGAAATCATTACGATTGCTGAACAAAAGAGATTTGATAATATACTCACCGACAGGTTGTTGCGGAGAGAGTGGACTTTGCGTCTGGTCCAAAGTTCCTCGTGACATTGTGGCATTTTACAATTAACACGTTAATTAACCACGCTTTTGTAAATCAACATCTAATTAGCTATAACTATATGAACATGATAGGTCAACTGAAAGCATGAGACGGATATACATGTTTTGGGCTAGACGCGATTTATAGGGTTCACGGTATCTGTATAAACGGCCAGATTTGTCGGTGGTGTATTACAAAGCTGAAATTGCTCCTGGCTTACTGCGAAGGTCGTAAATTGATTGAAGCGTATTGAGTGGCGGGTGTGATTACATCTATTAGAATAATACAGCAACGCCATCTCCACAGGGAAGCCATTAACACAACCCATGTAATGTTAAAACACAAGTATTACTTAAACGATAATACAGTCATTGTGTACGGAGAAGATATTTATCCTTTTCTTCGGAAATCCTTAAAAACTTTTCTCCATTTGTTAATGTTTCTTTCATTGCCGTGTGGAGATTAATAGTTTAAGATGATAGTCAAGTTATAGTAATGGCGTCCTTGAGTGGCATTTATTATCTTTGTATTATAGTAATTACTTTAAAAGTATTAATTATTGAAATGATTTAGTTATAACTATGTATTAATTGGTTGTCAAGGTGACGTGCTGATATAGCTGTGGCTTGACATTAGATGAGTGAAAACGGCAGTTTTATTTTATCTCAGGTTATACAAGATACTGCGCTTTGGTGCTTCTGTGATATGTGGTCTGATTAAGATTATCAGTTAAAGTAGATTTTGTGTACTGTTAGTCGTAATTTCCCTCGGGTATGGCACTCTGATTGGTCATGTCTGTACTTATTTAGTCTGTTATTGGTTGTATCTGTACTGCTCATACTGTGTTCCCCTTGTGGCACGTTGTGTTCCTGCTGTGGCACGTTGTGATTGGTTGTATCTGTACTGCTCATACTGTGTTCCCTTTGTGGCACGTTGTGATTGGTTGTATCTGTACTGCTCATACTGTGTTCCCTTTGTGGCACGTTGTGATTGGTTGTATCTGTACTGCTCATACTGTGTTCCCCTTGTGGCACGTTGTGATTGGTTGTATCTGTACTGCTCATACTGTGTTCCTCCTTTGTGGCACGTTGTGATTGGTTGTATCTGTACTGCTCTCATGTTGTGTTCCTCTTGTGGCACGTTGTGATTGGTTGTATCTGTACTGCTCATACTGTGTTCCTGTACCTTGTGCGTTGTGATTGTGTTCCCCTTGTGGCATTGGTTGTATCTGTACTGCTCATACTGTGTTCCCGTTGTGATTGGTTGTATTGTGGCACGTTGTGATTGGTTGTATCTGTACTGCTCATACTGTGTTCCCTTTGTGGCACGCTGTGATTGGTTGTATCTGTACTGCTCATACTGTGTTCCCCTTGTGGCACGTTGTGATTGGTTGTATCTGTACTGCCCTCACGTTGTGTTCTCCCCTTGTGGCACGTTGTGATTGGTTGTATCTGTACTGCTCATACTGTGTTCCCCTTGTGGCACGTTGTGATTGGTTGTATCTGTACTGCTCATACTGTGTTCCCCTTGTGGCACGTTGTGATTGGTTGTATCTGTACTGCTCATACTGTGTTCCCTTTGTGGCATCGTTGTGATTGGATTGTCTGTACACGTTGTGATTGGTTGTATCTGTACTGCTCATACTGTGTTCCCCTTGTGGCACGTTGTGATTGGTTGTATCTGTACTGCTCATACTGTGTTCCCCTTGTGGCACGTTGTGATTGGTTGTATCTGTACTGCTCATACTGTGTTCCCCTTGTGGCACGTTGTGATTGGTTGTATCTGTACTGCTCATACTGTGTTCCCTTTGTGGCACGTTGTGATTGGTTGTATCTGTACTGCTCATATTGTGTTCCCCTTGTGTGGCACGTTGTGATTGGTTGTATCTGTACTGCTCATACTGTGTTCCCTTTGTGGCACGTTGTGATTGGTTGTATCTGTACTGCTGATACTTGTGTTCCCCTTGTGGCACGTTGTGATTGGTTGCATCTGTACTGCTCATACTGTATTCCCCTTGTGGCACGTTGTGATTGTACTGTTGTATCTGTACGCTCATACTGTGATTGGTTGGTATCTGTAACCCTGACGTTGTGTTCCCTCTGCTTTGTGGCACGTTGTGATTGGTTGTATCTGTACTGCTGACGTTGTGTTCCCTTTGTGTACACGTTGTGATTGGTTGTTGTATCTGTACTGCTCATACTGTGTTTGTGGCACGTTGGCACGTTGTGATTGGTTGTTGGTTGTATCTGTCTGTACTGCTCATACTCCTGTTCCCAGTGGCACGTTTTCTGTACTGCTGATTGGTTGTTGGTCTGTACTGCTCATGTATTCCTTGTGATTGGTTGCCCATTGTGATTGGCTGTCTGGTGATACTTGTATTGCTCGTGGTCCATCCTTCAGTGACCGCTCTGACTGGTTACATCTGTACTCCTCATGTTTTACCCACGTGGAGGCCAGTTGTCGGTCCATTTGGCTGTTCTTCTATTACTTATTCTGTATTCCCCTGTCGATCTGTCTTGTTTACATTTCTAATGGAGGCAGTCTCTGTGTTCCCTCTGGTAATGTTATATATTTTAGCTATGTTTATATGTAGTGAGAAACACAATGAGATGTAACACGGGCTTGATGGTTTGGGTTTGTGGGCTGGTGGGTTTAGTTTGTTGAAATGTCGTTTCATTGGGCTATATGATTAAGATATGGTTTGAAAG